AGGTGGATTTTCTCCAGACACGACCCGTGTGAGGCATATTCCGAAATGGGCGGGGGTACGCCACGTGGAGCTGCTCATTGGTCCCATCGGTGGTGTTCTTTCTTGTGCATGGTTCGCGTGATGTGTCTACCGACATTGGCGGGGGAGCGCTCTACGAACCTTGTTTTTGGGCCTTTAGGTGGCGCTCCTTGTAGGCACGGTCCACGTGATGGGGTGTGCCGCAATGGCCAGGGGGGGCGCAGTGCGAACCCTGCTTTTGGGGCCGCAGGTGGAGGCCCCTGTGGGCCGCGATCCGTGTGAGAGGTGTGCCGAAGTAGACGGGAGGGCCAAATGCGAATTCTTTACGCTTCGCGTATCCCCACCAGCCCATCTCAAAACAGCAACTCTTGCGAAGCATGCCGACAGTCGTGTTTTTCAGGCGTGTTTCCGCCTGCCCCCGCATATCTCCCCTGTTCCTCCTTCCTCCCGCCTCCTTGTACATCCTCCTTGTGGTGGGAGCGGGAGAAGGACGAGGCGGAGGAGGAGGGAGAGAAAGCGCTCCTCGTGGTTTGAGTCGTTTGGGGTTTCTGTCCTGGTGTGAGTCGTTCGGGCCCTTCTTCCTGGTGTGAATCGTTCGGGCTCTTCGTGATGTGAGTCGTTCGGGCTCTTCGTCCTGGTGTGAGTCGTTCGGGCTTCTCGTGGTGTGAGTTGTTCGGGCCCCTCGTCGTCGTGTGAGTCGTTCGGGCCCCTCCTCCTGGTGTGACTCGTTCGGGCTCCTCGTGGTGTGAGTCGTTCGGGGCCCTCGTCGTGGTGTGAGTCGTTTTGGGAGCCTCTTGGAGGCCTTTTGGGGCGTCTTCGGGGCCTCTTGGCGGCCCCAGGGGCTTCTAGGAGCGTCTTGGGTGCCTTGGGGGAGCCTCTTCGGGCCTCTTGGGAGCCTCTTGGAGGCCGTTTGGGGTCTCTTGGCGGCTCCAGGGGCTTCCAGGAGCGTCTTGGGTGCCTCGGGGGAGCCTCTTGGGGCCTCTTGGGCGCCTCTTGGGGGCATCTTGGGGGCCTCTTGGAGGCCTCTTGGGGCCTCTTGGGACTCTTTGGGAGGGGTCTGGGAGGAATCTTGGGGCCATCTGTCGGGCGATCGATCACAGATGGGGCGAGCACTTTTCTCCCCCCCCCCGTCGGGGCCAGAATCCTCGTGAGGGGTGTCGAATAGTAGTAGTCGTAGTAGTAGTACTGGTAGTAGTAGTGGCCGTACCACCATGCGTAGAAGTAGTAATTGTAGAGGTAGAAGTGGTAGTAGTGTGAGTCGTTCGGGGCCCGCGTCGTGGTGTGAGTCGTTCGGGCTCCTCGTGGTGTGAGTCGTTCGGGCGCCTCGTCCTGGTGTGAGTCGTTCGGGCCCCTCCTTGTGGTGTGAGTCGTTCGGGCTCTTCGTGGTGTGAGTCGTTCGGGCCCCTCGTCCTGGTGTGAGTCGTTCGGGCTCCTCGTGGGGCCTCTTGGGGGCCTCTTGGAGCCTCTTGGGGCCTCTTGGGGGCCTCTTGGGGGCCTCTTGGGGGCCTCTTGGGGCCTCTTGGGGCCTCTTGGGGGCCTCTTGGGGGCCTCTTGGGGGCCTCTTGGGGGCCTCTTGGGGCCGCTTGGGGGCCTCTGGGGGGTCTCTTGGAGGCCTCTTGGGAGCCTCCTGGGGGCCTCTTGGGGCCATCTTGGGGCCTCTTGCGACCTCCTCAGAAGCGCAAAGAAGAACTACCCCCTGAGAAGGACAAAATGAGGCCAAAACCTTAAAATCAATGATTTTGCTATGAAGGACGATGAGCGCTGCCCCCTCAGAAGTCCAAAATGGGGCCAAAACCCTAGTAAAATCAATGTTTTTGGCTTCACAGAAGAGGAGAGGGACTTATCTCCGTCCCCCCGTCGGGGCCAGAATCCTCGTGAGGGTCGTCGTTTTTTAGCCCTCCCAGGAGTCGAAATTGACCCCCCTGACGACCCGCCGGACCCCCTCTCCAGGCCCAGGGGGAGGGGGTAGGGGGAGGGGTAAACCCCTCCCCGAAGGGGAAGAAGGGGGGTTGAGGACAGAGAGAGCTCGCTAAACCACTCACGCCCAAAGGGCTGGTGGGATTTTGTCACCGGGGCCGTCCGTGGCACTCTTTGCGGGCCACGATCCGTGTGAGAAGTGTGCCGACTTGAGCGGGCCGATACTATCAAGCTTCACTCTGGTGCGGTAAATGCAGCTTTTTGTGGGGCGCGATCTGCGTCAGGGGCGTGCCACTATGCGAACCTTGTCGCTGGGGACGTAGGTGGAGCCCCCTGTGGGGCGCGATCTCTGTGGTGGGTGTGCCGCCGCCCGTCGTTGGGGCTACAAGTGGAGCTCCCTAAGGGACACGACCCGTGCGATAATCGATGTCTTCCCATATTGCACACTGTCTAGACTACAACTGGAGCTTGCTAGAACCTAAGGGCGCGCGAAGCGCGCGTGGTTCTGGTGTATGTATGTCTGTATGTATGTATGTGTGTATGCATGCATGCATGCATGCATGCATGTATGTATGTATGTATGTATGTATGTATGTATGTATGCATGTGTGTATGTATGTATGTATGTATGTATGTATGTATGTATGTATGAATGTATGCATGTATGTATGTTTGTATGTATGTATGTACGTATGTACGTATGTACGTATGTACGTATGTACGCACGTATGTATGTATGTATGTATGCATGTATGTAGGTATGTATGTATGTATGTATGTATGTATGTATGTAGGTATGCATGCATGCATGCATGCATGTATGTATGTATGTATGTATGTATGTATGTATGTATGTGCGTATGTATGTATGTATGTATGTATGTATGTATGTATGTATGTATGTATGTATGCATGTATGCATGTATGTATGTATGTATGTATGTATGCATGTGTGTGTATGTATGCATATATATATACGTACACATGTTTTTATGTTATACACATATCGGAGGTGATGGGGTGAGATCGCAAAGGGCGCAGAGCCCCCCACCGGGACATTGGTTTCGGTTTCGTGTTCGTGTCGTGCGTGCGGTCGAGGCGAAGATGCCTGGGCGCGCGAGAGGAATGATGCCGCTATGGCCGACCCGCCCCGGGGCGCGCGGTTGCCCGGGGTGCCCCGCCGGTGGTGCAGGGGTGCCCCGTCGGTTGTGCGGGGGTGCCCCGCCGGTGGTGCAGGGGTGCCCCGTCGGTGGGGCGGGGGTGCCCCGTCAGTGGTGCGGGGGTGCCCCATCGGTGGTGCGGGGTATCCCGTTGGTGGTGCGGGGGTGGCCCGTCATTGGTGCGGGGGTGCCCCGCTGGTGGTGCGGGGGTGCCCCGTCGGTGGCGGGGTATGCCCTGTCGGTGGCGCGATAGCGAGATCGATAGTGAGATCGACAGTGAGTTCGATTGTCAGATACATGGTGAAATCGATTGGGAGATCGATAGTTGGATCCTGTTGTGAGATCGATCGTGAGATCGCTTGAGACATCGATAGTGAGTTCGATTGTCAAATCGATAGTGAACTCGATTGTGAGATCGCTTGTGAGAGCGATAGTGAGTCCGACTGTCAAATCGACTCTGATATCGATAGTGATATTTGTTCTGAGATCGATCGTGAGATCGATTGTGAGATCGATAGTGGGACCGACAGTGAGATCGATACTGAGATCGATTGTGGGATGGATTGTGAGACCGATCGATAGTGACTGTAAATGTGAGATCGGTAGTGAGTTCGATTGTCAGATCGATGGTGAGATCGAGTAGGCTATCGATCGTTAGATCTGTTGTGAGACCGATCGTGATATTGCTTGCGAGATCTATAGTGAGTTCAAGTCGATTGTGAGATCGATTGTGAGATCGATAGTGAGATCTGTTCTGAGATCGACAGTGACATCGACAGATAGATCAGTTGTGAGACCGAGAGTTTGTTCGATGTGAGGTCAATCAATCGAGTGAGACGTTGGTTCCCCCTCCCCCCCGAGCCTCCGTATTGGTACATGCATAGATCGCGCGGGCCCCTTCATTCGAGCCGCGGAGCTGCGTGAGTCCAAGTTTGTCGACCCCGCTTGTGTTTCTGGCGTGGGAAGTCCACGCCCTTGACCTCTCGAGGCCCCCCCGGGGATTCACGTGGACGCCCTGGGGCATCTTTGGTGCCCCTGAGGGTGTCTTACAAACATGTTGGGCCCTCTTGGAGGCCCTCGTGGGCAGCCTCCAGGCCGTGTGAGCTCGGGCCTCTTGGGATCTCGCTCTTTGTTTTGGGGGCCGTGTTGGGTGCGCTTTTGGGGTGTCTTGGGGGCCTCTTGGGGTCTTATCAGGGCGTCTTGGCGGCCCATTGGGGCCTCTCGGGGCGTCTTGGGGCGTCTTGGGGATCTCTTTGGGGCCTCCTGGGCCGCGGTGCAGGGCATAGCTGCTACGCAGTCGAAGTGCACAGCACACTTTGCATTCGTTGTTCGCCTCGTGATAACAGCGCCATGGCATGCACATCATGCGTCTTGCATCGTACTTCCAGCTTTCGGCTGCGCACTCGTACCTTACAGAAACTGAGGCCACATCACAGCAACGGCGGGTCTCAGGCCCCCCTCCTCCCCCTTCCCGCGCCCCCTCCCCTTCGCGGCCCCATTCCCCGCCCCTCTCCCGTTCCGCTCCCTTCTCCGTCTGCTCGCTCCCCTTCAACCCGCCAGCAACCACATTGTGGTTACCAGCGGACCCCGCCCCCCCCCTCCCATCCCTTCGCCCCGGCTTCCCCAGCCCTCCCCACCTCTCCCCATATTCTTTGGGGGGGGGGAGGGGAGGTCGGGACGCGAACAAGTGGGGAGGGGGAGGGGAGGAGGGCCACCGTTCCCCCCCCTCCCCTCCCCGCTCTCCCGCTCCTTCGCCTTCCCCCTCCCTCCCGCTCCCTCCACCTCCCCCTCCCGCCAGAGGCTGCCCAGAGGCGTCGCCGCCCGACCTTGCTGCATGCTTTGTTCCCGCGGGGGGGGGGGGCGGCGGCGGGGGAGGCGCCAGCGGGCCGGGGCCGCTTGCCGAAGGCGCGCAGGTGCGTGGTGCGGGGCTCGGCCAAGCAGGTCGCAGCGGCGCGCAAGCTCTTGCAGGAGGGGCCCGTTGTCGTTTCCCCGGTCCCCATCCCCGTCGGGCACAGTGCCTCATCGGGCACAGTGCCTCAGCCCCACCATCCCGCCACCCCAGGCGCCTCGAGACCCTGAGGGAACGGCCCGTACTCCCTTCCCAGGGGGAGGCGCTTCGACCAGTGGGGCACAGGCCACGCCAGGGGGGGACCTGGATCGGTGAAACGACGCTTCTGGGGCTCCCGCCGCCGTCGGCGTCGTCGGCGCCGTCCTGCGCGCGCGGCGCTTCTCCTCGCCCTGCGCCTCCCGCGCCTTGCCCCTCCCTGTCCTTCCTCGTTGGCCCTCCCTCCGCCGCTCCTTGGCCCCAGCGGCGTCCCCGCTCCCCGCGCCTCCCTCCAACATCAAGGACTTCCGTAGGAGAAGGGCGGGGGCATTGCGAGCGGGAGGGTTGGCCGCTCGTGAGGTTGATCGTTCGATTGTGTGTAATCGACATCGTTCGAAGGGGGCGTCATGGTCGCATCCCCCTCTTGAAGAGTTCTGTACTCCAGTCACTTCAGTCTCTGTGCTCCTTCCCCCGCCGTCCCGTTCTGTGCTGCATCCTCCCCTCTCCGTCCCCTGGTCTCCCCGTCCCGCGCGCCCCCTGTCCAGCACCCGCTGCCCTCCTCTCCGTCCCTCCCTCCATCCCTCCTCTTATCTGTCCCTTCTCATCCTCGTTTCCCTTCTATTCCCGTCCACTCCCCCCCCTCCACTCTCTCTCTCTCTCTTTTTCTCCGCAGCCATTTTGGCTCAAGGCGGAGCTTACCTCCCGTCCCGACTCCAGAGGCTCGAGGTCGAGTTGGAAGGGTAGCCCTTTCCTAGGCCTGGCTGCCTCGGCCAGCATCCGATGGGCTCATGGGGGAGCCAACATGTTTGCTCCTGGTGGGGCAGTCTCTTAGTCCTCAGCATTGCGCATGAACAGCAATGGAAAAGGGGGTGAGCAGTCTGGGAACCAGAAGCAGTATGCTAAATGTCGGGCGTGCGGGTGTAAGCAGAACTGGAAGCAGAACACCGCAAGCCACAGGGGCTCGAGGCCCCTGCACCACGCCAGGTCTCAAGAGCGCCAGCCGAGCGGCGCATGGGGCCCAGGCGGGGCCAGCGAGCGCAGCCATAACCGCCCGCGTGGAGGCAATGGGTGCCAAGGGAGCTCCGCCGTCGCAGGAGGAGCTTGTTGTGCCAGCTGCGCGCCGCCCTCCCTGCCGACGCCGACCGCGCCACGCCCGAGCACGTCGGCCAGCTGGCGATCGCCCTGGCGCCGCCCCCGACGCCTGGGCACCCCGACGCGGCGCTCAACCAGGCGCGGGTCAGGGCGCGGCGCGCCGAAACCGCCCTCGACCGCTCCACCCAGGCCGTCATGGATGCGGAGGAGTGGCTGGAGCGCAAGCGGCAGGATAAGGAGGAGGCCATCCTCGAGGTCGCGGGGGCGGACCGTGAGACGGAGGAGGCCTACGCCAAGGCGACGCTGGCGGGCCAGGCTGTGGTGGCGTCGGCGGCGGGGGCCGAGGCCAAGCCAGCGGCCATGCCGGTTGCGGCCGTCGACCTTTCAAGGCTGCTCTCCGTGGAGGTGGCGGTCATGGAGGTCCAGCCTGGGACCGCGCTCGACTTGGGGGGGCTTGACATCTCGGCCGAAGAAAAAGAGCAGTTCCAGGCGCAGGTCACCAATGTCGTCGGCCAGCTGCAGACGGAGGTCCAGAAGCAGTTCGGCCCTGCCGCCGACTCAATCAAGAGCATGCGCGAGGACCTCAGAAATGTACACGGCCGCCTCAAGGCCAAGCGCCCCCGTTCCGCTGCGCCCGACGACCTCGGCCCCCAGGCTGCGGCGGCCAAGGTGGCAGGGAAAGGAGGAGAGGCAGCGGCAGCTCCAACCCAGGTCAGGGGCGCCCCCCCCCCACCTGGGCCTTCTGGCCAGCCTCCCGATGGCGACGGCGGCTCTCTTGGGCCAGGCGGGCAGGGCCCAGGTGACTCCCATGTGAAGGCTCCTCCTAGGACTCCCAGAGCCCATGCGCCTCCCTGGGGTCGGAGCTCCCTCCCTGGCACGGCGTGGCTCTCGACGTGGAGCGCCCTGCTCGCCGTGGGCTCCGACGTGGACGAGGGTGGCGGCCAGAGGCGGTGCCCTCCACGTCTTCCGCCGCGGCATCGTCGGCCACCCGACCTTCGCGGACCAGGGTCGTCACCGTGGTCGAGGGGGGCGCCGTCTAGCCGGCGCGGCCAGCCAGGCAGCGCGTCAATTTTGGCGGCGTCGCTTACCTCCTTGGGGGTGGGGCCTCTCCTCGCCCGCGCCTGACCTGGGGGCGGGTCCTGTGGCCATAGACCAGGGCCCAGAGCGACGAAGTGGACCTTGGAGAGGATCTTGCGCGGCTACACAGGCCACTGGCTCGAGAGCATGCTCGCGTGGGACGACGAGACGGACGCCCGCCACCTGAAGAGGTACTGTGTGCCTTGCGTATCCAACTACCTCTCGCACCCGGCGCTGCGGCCCCTGGTGGCCGAGATGGCGGGAAGGGCCGCCGCGGCGACCTCGCCATGCCCCGGGCGGACATGGCTCTGGAGATCTGCCAGCGCGCCTTTCGCCAGCGACGGGCCGCTGGGCGCCGCGATTGGGAATGGCTCCAGAACCTCGGGCCCGACGAGCGGTCGGCGTCGGCCGGCCTGGCGCGCGGGGGCCGTGCGACGAGAGGCAGGGGGCCCGGGCAACGGCGTCGGCATCCATCGTGGTCTCTCCCAGGCCACGCAGGGCGCGAGGTCGACGGCGTCGATCGCGACCTGGACAGCGCCCGCCCGCGGTGGAGCCAGTCCCGTTCGTTTTTTTCCCCGCCCACGCAGGGCGCGAGGTCGACGGCGTCGATCGCGACTTGGCCAGCGCCCGCTCATGGTGGAGCCAGTGCCACTCTCTCCCAGCCCACGCAGGGCGCGAGGTCGACGGCGTCGATCGCGACCTGGACAGCGTCCGCCCACGGTGGAGCGAGCGCCACTGTCTGCTGGTGGACCCCGTCGACGATGTGATGCCGCTGGGACGAAGCGCCATCCTGTTCATCCAAGAGCATAAGCTCTCGAAGGAGTACGCGGCCGAGGTCAGATCCGCCTGCTACAATGAGCACCTCGCCGCGGGGCTCACCGACGCGGCGAAGGGGGCAGGGGGGGTCGCGCGGCGGGCGCGGGCTTCGTGGCGCCGCGCTGCCTGGGGCCCACCTGCCCGGAGGGCGCCGTGTCCTTCGATTCTATAGGCTATCGCCACATCCGCCGACCCCTATATAAGGTACTGCGCCTCCAGGACTGCATGTCACGAGGCTTGTCCGCACCGTGACACGGCGCTCGACATCGCGCCAGACAGCCCCGAACATATTCGGAAGAACGCACGAAGGCATCCTGATCACCACTGTGACGCAAACACTTTCGAAGACGCCCCTAAATAGCCGTCGCCTTGTTCGCTCGAGCGTTCCAGTTTTGATGTCCCCATGTGATGCTCCTCCTGCAGCGCGTGTTCGAACATTCGCTTCCCGTTCTTGTCTGGTCAGGTTTTCTGAAGGGCGGCCACGTGCTGGTCGCGGCTTACTTCTGGGTCGACGAGGGGTTGGCGGCTCGCGACCTCTCCATCCTCGAGGCCGGCAGGGAGCTGGTCCGCCTCTACGGCGTCCCGTGGGTCTCGCGGGCCGACTGCCGCAACGCGCCCGGTTCGCTTCGGGCCGGCGACTGGTGCCGAGTCGTCGGGGGTATTGTCTTCGCGCCCGAGGCTGCTGCCTTCCAGGGCAGGGGCGGAGGGGGCCGTCGCCTCTTTCGTGGTTGGCGCTCGCATCGCCCGCGACGCCGCCAACGCTCAAGTGCTGAGCGCGGCCGCCTGCCCCCGCGGCCCCCGTCGGCCTCGAGCCCTTCCGCGCCGTGACGGGCTGGCGGCTGGCCAAGGCGCGGCCCCCCCCTCCACTCGCCTGCCGGCGGGGCGTCTGCGGGCCCCGCCAGACTGGCCCCAGTTGGGCCACATGACGTGCTGTGCTCGGGCGCCAAGCTGGAGAGCACCTGGCAGGGCTTCGCCGCGGCGGCTGAGACGGACCTGCCGGGCATGTTTGACCTGCTCGGCGAGGGCGACGTCGTCTGGCGCGGTGGCCTCCCTCGGCGGGCCCGAGCCCCCCTCGTCGCAGACGCGGCGCGCCAGCAGGGCACCTGGGCGCCCCTGGCGTGCCCTGACGGAGGGCGCATGGGCGCCTCACTCGCGGGGCAGCCCGCTGGTGCGCAGTCTTGAGCCGGGACGAAGCGGAGCCAGTTTATCGGGGCCGCGTGGCCTTCGCAGCCCTGCGTTTGACGAGGCGCGCCCCGCGGGGGGGCGCGCCTCGGTCCGCGGGCCTGCAGAGGGCGCAGGATTCACCCATCGCGTGTCGAAGTGGAAGCAGACCGTGAACCATGGCGCCTGCGCCAGGGCCACTCCAACATGGACATGTCCGACCCCTGGAGGGCCGTCGATGCTGCCGCCCAGGGCCGGGGTCGCCCCGTGGACTCCCGCGGCGCCGAGAGCCGCGGCGAGATCGCCATCCCATGGGGGCTGGCAGAATTCCCCCGCGGCCTCGCACGCCCCACTCCTGACGATTTCCGAAAGATTTGTCGGGCTTCCCTGGGCGCGCGGGAGCGGGGGTGTAGATTTGGCACCCTCGGTGGTTGAGTTTCCTGCGTGGCGGGCGCCTGGATTTTTTGGCCGCGCGCTGCCCCCCCCCAGCTGCGGCGCGCGTTGCGTTTTTTGCTTTCCGAGCCGCCGGGGGGTTACGAGGTCTACCGACCTGCTCGCCTCGTGCGTTAGGTTGGTCGAGCGAGCCCGATCGATTCGACGTGATTGCGACTTCGCTGCCCCCGAAGGCGGCCCCGAAGATGCGAAGCGGCAGCATATGTTTGTCGATCAAAGAGTCCCCCCCGACGACGCGTCCGGCACGGGAATTGTAGATCTCCACGAAGATTTCGAGCGTTGTAGCATGTATCTCCTGCGGGCCGAGGCGCCCAGTCACGGTTTTCCGCGGCGGCTGTTGGAACTCTTGGTTTCGATTTACAATTGGCGAGCGCATCGTGACCTTCGGGGGGTGGTTTCGACCCACACGGCGGCCACCTTTTTCGGCTGTGGTGGCGGGGACTGGGGGGATTCGCTGTCTTCAAGTAGCCGCCCTCGCAGTCACGGACTCGCTGTCTCGCATGCACCCTACCCTCGTCCTCAGGCTGCACGTCCATAACTTCAGTCTCCACGCCAGGGGCTCGGAGGAGGAGGTCTCGATCCAGCTCTTTGATGGGATGACCTTTTTCTGTGGACGCCATGGGAGCCGTGAAAATCCTAGTGTCCAGGACCAGGCCAGGCGGCCCCCCAGGGAAAAGGTGTCAGTCTGGCTCCCAGCGTTTCTCTCAGGGTTCGAATTCGAGGGTGGGTCCAGGGTTTGGGCCTGGACGCCCCGCAGGAGGCCATCGCCCAGGGCGCCGCTATCGCGGAGAGCAAGGGCAAGGGCAAGGGCAAGGGCAAAGGCTCTTGGGGGGGGGGGGGCGGGCGGCTCGGCAGGAGGAGGACGACGAGGGTCGAGGAGGAGGAGGATAGGAGAGGAGGAGGAGGAGGAGGAGTTGGCTGATTGTCGGCAGGGGGAGCAAGGGCGAGGGCAAGGACAAGGGCAAGGGCAAGGGCAAATGCGAAGGCTCTGCGAAGAGGGCGGCGGGGCTGGAGAGGAGGAGGAGGAGGAGGAGGAGGAGGAGGAGGAGGAGGAGGAGGAGGAGGAGGAGGAGAGAGGAGGAGGAGGAGGAGGAGGACGGGGAGGGTCGGGAGGAGGTTGCGGCTGAGGTCATGGAGTCATGGAAGGATGGGCACAGGTCAGTCTGCAGGTGCACGGCACTGGCCAGTTGGAGCTTAGAGATGCGTGTGCCCTGAGATTTGGAGCATCAGGAGGAGGAGGAGGAGGAGGAGGAGGAGGAGGAGGAGGAGGAGGAGGACGACGACGATGACCACGACCACGACGGCGATGACGGCGACGACGACGACGACGACGAAGAGCAGGGGATGGATCAGGGGATGGGTAATATGAGGAGGGAGGCGTGGAGGGTGAGGGGAGCGAAGGGGAGGAGTGAAAGAGGGCGGAGGTAGAAAGGATGACTGCGGCGGGAGAATGAACGAGGGAGGAGGAGGAGGAATGAGGAGCTGGCAGACCAAGAGGAGGAGCTGGCAGACCAAGAGGAGGAGGATGAGGAGGCGCTGCACGGTGATAAACAAGCATGAGACGGAGGAGCAAGTGGGAGCATTCTCGGCTGCTGAAACCGCTCCGGACTGCTCGGGGGGCCCCTCGAGGCCAGCTGGGACTGCTTTGAGTGGGCTGTCTGTGCGCAACCGAAGCCTCTCCGACCCTCTTGCATGCATGCGGAAAAGTTCGTTGGTCGTGACGTTGCCCCCCTACCCGATTGGGCACGGGCGCGAGCGGCCTGGGGCGCCGCCTCCTCCAGGCAAGGAGCTCTTCGGCAAGGGCGCCGGTGGGCAGGCGGGCGTGTGCAAGTGGTACGCCGCGGGCTTCTGCAGGAACAGGAGCTAGCGCCCGGCCCCCGTAGAGAGCTGTCCTCCTCCTCCTCCTCCTCTCCCTCCCTGCCCCCTTCCCCATCCTCATTCTCCTCCTCGGAAGTCTTCTCCTCCTCCCCCTCCCCCAATGTTGAGCGCCTTGGGGGGGAAGAGCTATCACAGCTTCAACATCAAGTGCTGAGCAGCAATCTGTGTACTCTGCGGGCCACCCCGCTTCGCGATCGCATCACAATCACCATCACAATCGCCATCACCATCACCATCGCCAGCACCATCACCATCACTTATCGCCAGCACCATCACCATCACCATCACCATCACCATCACCATCACCATCACCATCATCACCATCATCACCATCATCATCATCATCATCATCATCATCATCATCATCAGCAGCTCGCCGCAATCTTGCACCACCACCACCTGCATAATCCCCCCGCTCCCCCACGTCTCCGGCGGCCACACGGTGAAGCCCTCGAGCCCGGGGCCTCGGCCCCTGCCCCCTCTTCCCTCCTCGGCGCGGACGCCTCACGAGCCATCCGGTCCCCGCCCCTTTCCCTTTCCCCGCCCTCCTCCTCCTCCTCCTCCTCCTCCTCCTCCTCCTCCTCCTCCTCCTCCTCCCCCTCCTCATCGTCCTCTTCTCCCCTGGGGTGGCCGCTCGCGATCCGAGGGTCCAGGCAGTGTTCAGAGGGCAGAGCTCCCGTGAGGAGAGGCGGACTGTTCCCTCGGCTCTCCTGCCCCTGGACGGGCTTCGTCTTCGTCTCGTGCTCCTGGCCTCCCTTTCCTTCTCTTGGGGTCGTGTGCTCGTCTTCTCCCCTGGGGGGCGGCGCGAGAGCGCGAAGCTGTTCGCGCTCTCGCTCTTGACGCAGCGCGGAGCGCGAAATTGGACGCACTTGTTTCCCACCACGGCTTTGTCCCTGCCTCTCTCCCACTAGCTTGAAGTCGGGCGTGCCCTTCTACACGAGAATCTATATACACATGTACACACATATGTGGGAGATCCCGGCCCTGGGGCCCCGGGCTGGCCCCCCCGTTGTACCACGGACCCACCTCTCCCCAGAAGGCTTCCCGGACGACCTCTGGAGACTTCCGGACCGCTCGAGAGCGCTCCAAGAGCGCCGAGAGGGCACCAGGAGCGCTTGAAGACTGCCCAAGATGGCTTCCAGAAGTGCCAAGAGGCCCTCGATACGTCCCAAGAGATGTCCAAGAGGACCCCACGAGGGCCCCGGGAGACCAACATGGCCCCATTCTTTTCGTAAAGCGTATGTATGTAGCATATCTGCTCCCTTGGATATCAGTGCGCCCAAAGAGCCCCAAGAGGCGCCCAAGGACGCCCCAGGACGGCTTAGGACAGCTCCAAGACGGCCCAGGAGGGCCCCACGACGGCCTAAGTGAGCCCCAAGCGGGCCCCGAGGGAGCCCCAAGAGGGCCCCAAGAGCGCCCCAAGAGGGCGCAGGAGCGCTTGAAGACGGCCCAAGGTGGCTTCCAGAACGGCCAAGAGGCCTTCGAGACGCCCCAAGAGAGATTCAAGAGCCCCAGCCACGAGGGCCCCGGGAGACCAACATGGCTGCATTCTTTTTGTAAAACGTATGTTTGTAGCATATCCGCTCTTTGGAATATCAGTGCGCCCAAAGAGCCCCAAAAGGCTCCCAAGGATCCCCAAGGACGGCTTATGACAGCTTTAAGACGGCCCAGGAGGGCCCCACGACGTCCCAAGTGAGCCCCAAGCGGGCCCCGAGGGAGCCCCAAGAGCGCCCCAAGAGGGCGCAGGAGCGCTTGAAGACGGCCCAAGGTGGCTTCCAGAACGGCCAAGAGGCCTTCGAGACGCCCCAAGAGAGATTCAAGAGCCCCCGCCACGAGGGCCCCGGGAGACCAACATGGCCCCATTCTTTTCGTACAGCGTATGTTTGTAGCATATCCGCTCCCTGGGATATCAGTGCGCCCAAAGAGCCCCAAGAGGCGCCCAAGGACGCCCCAGGACGGCTTAGGACAGCTCCAAGACGGCCCAGGAGGGCCCCACGACGGCCTAAGTGAGCCCCAAGCGGGCCCCCAGGGAACCCCGAGAGGGCCCCAAGAGGCCCAGGAGCGCTTGAAGACGGCCGAAGATGGCTTCCAGAACGGCCAAGAGGCCTTCGAGACGGCCGTAGAGAGGTTCAAGAGGCCCCCCACAAGGGCTCCGGGAGACCAACATGGCCCCATTCCATTCGTACAACGTATGTTTGTAGCATATCCGCTCCCTTGGATATCAGTGCGCCCAAACAGCCCCAAGAGGCGAGGATGAGAAGGAGGAGGAGGAGGAGGAGGAGGACAAGGAGGAGGAGGAGGAGGAGGAGGAGGAGGAGGAGGAGGAGGAGGAGGAGGAGAAGGACGAGGATGAGGAGGTGGAGGAGGAGGAGGAGGAGGGGGAGTGGGAGGAGGAGGAGGGAGGAGGCAGCGGAGGAGGAGGAGGAGGAGGAGGAGGAGGAGGAAGCGGGAGAAGGAAGGATGCAGAAGGAAGTAGGAAGCGGTGGAGTTGGGATGAACCCTTTCACTTGAGATGTTAAGCGTTCGGGTTCGGGTTTTCGAATCGGGTATTCGGTATCAAGGTTGGGGTGTAATGGCGAGGGTGTCAGAGTGAGTGTCTGGGGGTTCGACTATTAAAGTTTGGCTGTTTTGTTTCGGGTGACAGTGTTGGGCTGTTCGGGAGTTCGATTATCGAGTTCGGGCTTTTCGTCTAGGGTGTTGGGGTTATGCTAGTAGAGTCTTCGGGTGCCTGCTAATACAGTCTTCGGGGCCGGCTAGAACCTAAGCGCGCGCGAAGCGCGCGTGGTTCGAGTACATATATATATATTGTACATAATACGTCAAGCATTTGCTTGTAGACGATTGTGGGAGTCTTTTGATGATTTATGTTTTTTTTTTCCAGTCCGCCTGGCCTGTAGGAGGACATGCCCGACCTGACCCCCAGCTGTCCCGCAGCGTGCGCGCGCGTCCCTGGCCCTCGAAGAGTATGAGGGCCCGTTCGTGCCCAGGGCAGGGGACAGGGCAGACGAGTCAGAGCAGTCTTTCTCCAGGGCGGCTGCCCGTCCCTCCACTGCAGTCGTCTTTCTTGCTTTGTGCGGTAAGGAGATGCGGGGCGCGGAGCTCAAACATGCCTCTCCCTCCCCCGCACCCTTTCCTCCCCCCGTGAACATTGACGTAGCTGGAAAATTGCAACAGGATTGATGATGTTTGCTGAAACTTGCCTGTCATGTTGGCTCGTCGTGCTCTCATGTTCCTCCGGCTCGGCCAGCCCCGCTGAGGACTGGCCCCGATGGCATGTGCCGCAACGGGCTCCACTGCTCGGAGGCAGCCAGGACACCGATGGGCCGAACGCGCGGAGTGGGCCCCTTCTGCTGCAGCTCCTCCCCCGAAGGAGGAAGAAGGTGGGAGAGGGAGAGGAGGGGGGGCAGCACGGGAGAAGGGTTAATTTTCTATCAGGGTCATTTATTATACATCTATATATATATATATATATTACTCAATGGAAACATTGTGTTCCAGGTCCAGAAATCATTTCCGGGACCCGCCGTGTGGGCCATCCTCAAACAAATCACATTGAAGGACAGGTTGGTTGGTTGGTGGGTTGGTTGGCTGATTGTTGATTAGGTCGCCGATTGTTGGGTCAGAATGTTTTTAGGTCACATTATTTTCAGGTTAAACAATATTCTGGGGACCCGCCGTGTGGGACGTCATCCAAAAATATGTTGGTAATGACTGGTCGTTGCGTGGGTTGGTTGTCTGGCTGGCTCGCTGATTTCGGGTCAATTTAATTTTTTGTTACGAGGCGATGGGGTGGTTGGTTGGTTGGCTGGCTGGCCGGCTGGACGGTTGGTTGGGCGCTTGGTTCGTTGGCTGGCCGGTTGGTTGGCTGGTGGTTGGTCGGTTGGTTGGTTGGTTGGGTGGTTGGGTGGCCGGTTGTTCGCTTGCCGGGATGGTTGGCCAGTTCTCCCCTCCCTTCCCCCTCTCGTCGTCCCCCTTCTTCCCTCTGCACTCCTCCTCCTTCCCTCCTCTTCTCTGTACCTTCCTCCCGTCTTCTCCCTCCCTGTCCTCCTCCTCCTCCTCCGTTTCGTTTCCGAGCAGCTTGGAACGTTCGCGTGAAGAGACACATGCATGCAAGGTGGAGGCACAAGGAAAAGGACAGTACATGGGCGGACCCTCCTTAAGAGGACGTCAGCGTTGTAGCAGCACCCCCTGGCTCAATGGAGAAAGAGAGACAAGAGGGGGGGACTTACGGCTCAGACCAGCTTGAGACTTGCATTGCAATTTATTGCAACTGCAATGCAAATGCAACGCAGTGTTATGCAATGCAACGCAACTTAATGCAATGCAATGTAACGCAACGCAGTGCAATGCAATGCAACGCAATGCATCGCACATGCAAATGCACATGCAAATGCAAATGCACATGCAAATGCAACTGCAAATGCAAATGCAAATGCAAATGCAAATGCAAAGATAAAGGCAAAGGCAAAGGCAAAGGCAAAGGCAAAGGCAAAGGCAAAGGCAAAGGCAAAGGCAAATGCTACTGCACATGCAAAGGTAAAGGCAAAGGCAAAGGCAAATGCAAATGCAAATGCAAATTCAAATTCTTTACGCTTCGCGTATCCCCACCAGCCCATCTAACAGCAGCAACTCTTGCGAAGCATGCCGACAGTCGTGTTTTTCAGGCGTGTGTCCGCTTGGCCCCGCATATCTCCCCTGTTCCTCCTTCCTCCCGCCTCCTTGTACATCCTCCTTGTGGGGGGAGCGGGAGAAGGACGAGGCGGAGGAGGAGGGAGAGAAAGCGCTCCTCGTGATTTGAGTCGTTTGGGGTTTCTCGTCCTGGTGTGAGTCGTTCGGGCCCTTCTTCCTGGTGTGAGTCGTTCGGGCTCTTCGTGGTGTGAGTCGTTCGGGCTCTTCGTCCTGGTGTGAGTCGTTCGGGCTTCTCGTGGTGTGAGTTGTTCGGGCCCCTCGTCCTGGTGTGAGTCGTTCGGGCCCCTCCTCCTGGTGTGACTCGTTCGGGCTCCTCGTGGTGTGAGTCGTTCGGGGCCCGCGTCGTGGTGTGAGTCGTTCGGGCTCCTCGTGGTGTGAGTCGTTCGGGCGCCTCGTCCTGGTGTGAGTCGTTCGGGCCCCTCCTTGTGGTGTGAGTCGTTCGGGCTCTTCGTGGTGTGAGTCGTTCGGGCCCCTCGTCCTGGTGTGAGTCGTTCGGGCTCCTCGTGGGGCCTCTTGGGGGCCTCTTGGAGCCTCTTGGGGCCTCTTGGGGGCCTCTTGGGGGCCTCTTGGGGGCCTCTTGGGGGCCTCGTGGGGCTTCTGGGGGCCTCTTGAGGGCATCTTGGGGGCCTCTTGGGGGCCTCTTGGGGCCTCTTGGGGCCTCTTGGGGGCCTCTTGGTGGCCTCTTGGAGGCCTCTTGGGAGGCTCCTGGGGGCCTCTGGGGGCCATCTTGGGGCCTCTTGCGACCTCCTCAGAAGCGCAAATGAGCGCTGCCCCCTGAGAAGGACAAAATGAGCCCAACACCTTCGTACAATCAATGGTTTTGCTATGAAGGAAGAGGAGTGCTGCCCCCTCAGGAGGCCAAAATGGGGCCAAAACCGTAGTAAAATCAATGATGTTGGCTTCAAAGAAGAGGAGAGGGGCCAAACTCTGCCCTCCCGTCGGGGCCAGAATCCTCGTGAGGGTCGTCGTTTTTTGGCCCTCCCAGGAGTCGAAAAAGACCCCCCTGAGAACACTCGGGGCTCCCTGTCCAGGCCCAGGGGGAGGGGGTAGGGGGAGGGGTAAACCCCTCCCCGAAGGGGAAGAAGGGGGGTTGGGGGGTTGAGAACAGAGAAAGCTCTCTAAACCACTCACGCCCAAAGGGCTGGTGGGATTCATTGCAATGCAACAAGATGCAATGCAATTGCACTGTAACGCAATGTGCACCTCGTCACCTGGCAGCTCCGCGGTTCCCCCCCAGCAAGAAATACAGTGTACACTCCACTGGCCACATGGCAGCGCTTTGGCGGGCGACAGTGTCGTATTTCATTATGTACTCGTCACGTGGATGCGTCGCGGGGGGCTGAGAAAGTACTATTCCATTCCTACTCGCCACCTGGCACCGCCTGCGGGGGGCGAGCGAAGCCGCTGGAAGCCGAACACAAATACGCACCCACTCCATTTGCCACGTGGCAGCGCCTGGAGGCGCGATGAGACGGTACTGCATCCACTCTGCATGTCACGTGGCAGCGCCGGGCGACGAAGAGCGAAACACAACATCCTGGCGGAGGGCACAACCATATGCAGTTGTGAGTATCGTTTTTGTGGATATCGCCTTCGGTGAATCTCAGCGTGTAAAGGGTGTGCCGAAATGGGGCGGGGACGCATGCGGGCGCAGCCATTGGGGCCTTCGGTGGCGCTCCATACGGGGCCACGAAGCGTGTGAGGAGCCGAAATGGAGCGGGGCCGCCATGCGAATGCCGCCACTGGGGCCTTCGGTGGAGACCCCTATGGGGCCGCGAAGCGCGTGAGCGGTATGCCGAAATGAGCCAGAGGACGCATGCGACCGTCGCCAATGGGGCTTTCGGTGGAGCTCCGTATGGGGCCATGAAGAGTGTGAAGGGTGGGTGGCGCGGGTCGCATGTGATCACAGCCACTCGGCCTTCGGTGGAGCTCCTCATGGGGCTACGAAACGCCGTACTGGGTGTCGCGGGCCGCATGTGATCACAACCAGTGGGACCTTCGGTGGAACTCTTTATGGGGCCACGAAGCGCCGTATTGTGTGGCGCGGGACGCATGTGATCACAGCCAATGGGGTCTTCGGTGGAGCTCCCTGTAGGCATGGGTGGCGCGGGGCGCATGTGATCACAGCCAGTAGGGCATTCGGTGGAGCTCCCTATGTGGCCACGAAGCGCCGTACTGGGTGGCGCGGGACGCATGTGATCACAGCCACTGGGGCTCTCGGTGGAGTTCCCTATTGGGCCGCGGAACGCCGTGCTGGGTGTCGCGGGGTGCATGCGTCCATAACCATTGGGGCCTTCGGTGGAGCTTCCTATGTGGCCACGAGAAGCCGTACTGGGTGGCGCCTTCCGTGGAGCTCCCTATTGGGCCATGCCGTACTGTGTGGCGCGGGCCGCATGAGATCACAGCCATTGGGGCCTTCGGTGGGGCTCCCTATGGGGCAACGAAGGGCCGTACTGGGTGGCGCGGGCCGCATGTGATACAGCCACTGGGGCCTACGGTGGGGCTCCCCATGGTGCCACGGAACGCCGTGCCGGGTGTCGCGGGGCGCATGTGATCACAACCAGTGGGACCTTCGGTGGAACTCCGGATGGGGGCACGGAACGCCCGCCGTACTTGGTGGCGCGGGGCGCATATGATCACAGCCATTGGGGCTTTCGTTGGGGCTCCCTACGGGGACGCGAAGCGCCGTACTGGGTGGCGCGTTGGCGCGTGTGATCACAGCCAGTGGGGCCTTCGGTGGAGCTCCCTATGTGGCCACGAAGCGCCGGATTAGGGGGGGGGGCGTGATGCATGTGATAACAGCCATTGGAGCTGGTAAACCTCTTCCCATGCCTGCTCTCTGCTGCCGCCGTCGCTTCTCGCTGTAACGCGATATTGCGTTGCAGCTGGTTTTGGATCAAGGCGCCGCTTTGGTGCCCAGGAGTTTGGGTCGACACCGCGGGCCGACCCCAGCCCTAACGCAAAAGGAAGAGCTTGGGCCGTCGCTTCGTTGTGCTCCCTCCTTTCTACGCTTCTGCATTCAAGCGTTGACCAGCCTAGCTGATACTTCAAGGCGTGTCGATGCGATCCATACTGAGCAGTGATGAGATCGAATCAGAACCACCATTGCACCCCACATTCGCCCGAAACCGCATTCCTCTGGCAAGTAACTGTTCATCAGCCGAAAGCGCATTTTTTACGTCACGTGCGCATGTGGAAGTGCATGCATATCCCAGTTCGGTCGCATCGCTTGCAATGGTTGAGGCTTCCTCGAGTAATGCTGCATCTGTCTTGACGAGTAGGTTTCCTTTCACGTCCTTGCAATATTACTCGTCGATGAGCCGTTTAGTCCAGGAGTGGAACGTGTTTCGGCGTTGGTTCAGCAGGCGGAACAAAGCGACACTTTGGATCGTGACCTCTCAGCCATTATTGATGACGTTGACATCCGTCCTAAGTTTTCGTCGATCAAGGGTCGACAGCCCTTCGGATGTCTCAAACAGACCATGCGCAATATAGCACTGGAGAGATTCTGGCAACGAGACGACCGAAACGATCCGACGATGCGAGCATGGAAAATATTCACCGATGCAAGTTTTCAGATTAAGTGAATGTTTGCCAGATGACAGTGTTTGCCCCGTAATGCAAGAAGCCGAGGGGGTACCTGATGAAGCGATGTCATCACATATGAACGTCAGGCATCCATAGTGAGCCTGAGTTCCCCGTAGTCCTTCCGACAAAAAACCTCCCAGTAGTTGCCTCATAACACCGTCAGGTGGGTCAGTTGGGATTCGGAGTGACCGCGCGGGTTTGGGATTCGGGTCTTTCCCTGAGGATGTGTGGGGGATTGGGGCATCCAGGGTCCCAACAAAACCATGCTTGCAAAAGGCGCTGTTCTCCCTTTGGCGCGGCCGATACGATTTTTGATCCTGACACCCGGTGCCGATGCAGCCTGATCCGACGCCGACTGGTCCCTGCCCCCCTCCGCCTCCGCCTTCCCGTGGCCTGCCGTCTTCCGCGGCCGCTCGACTTCGAGCCCGGCCGCCCCCGACTTGTGGGCCGTCGCGGAGGCATGGTCGCCGCTGGGCTGGAGCACACCGTTCTGCTCTGGAGCGACGGCGCCGCTGTGGCGTTTGGCGTCAACGGCGCGGGTCAGTGCGACCTCCCGCCGCTGGCGGAGGGCTTCGCCTACACGCAGGTGGCGGCGGGAGACGAGCACACCGTTCTGCTCCAGAGCGATGGCGCGGCCCTGGCGTGTGGCAAGAATGACGCGGGACAGTGCAACCTTCGAAGAACAGAAAATTGCACCTATACGACCATTCTTCGAGTGACAAGGAATTTGGGGGATGGTGGGACATATCCAACAGCTGGCACATGCGATGGGTGTGATGATGACGATGCTGGTGGGGGTTCTCCGATCGACGATGGCTGTGATGATGAGGGATGTGATGATGATGACGATGCTGATGCGACGCATGCGAAGCCGAAACCGATTTCTTGGTTGGTGGCTTTCTGTTCCGCTGCGATGTCCCCCCCCAACTTCCGATAAACATTCATTTTCGGAGGTCACGCGGATTTCTTGGAATGGGCCTTGCGCTGCCCCTGGCAGTGCCTGTGGCGCCGCCTCCGTCGGGCTCCGCGCTCCAGAGAAAAGGGGCCAGCGCCCATCAAGGGCATCTGCATGGACCTCCGAAAGCTGATAATTAGGGCTGTTTTTTGTTCCTCTACTTCCGGCGCTGGCAGACGGCCTGACCTACACGCAAGTGGCCGCAGGAGCGCGCCATACGGTCCTGCTCCGGAGCGATGGCGCGGTCGCGGCGTGCGGCAGCAACGACTCGGGGCAGTGCGACCTTCCAGCGCCGGCTGCGGGCCTGGCCTACACGCAGGTGGCAGGGAGCAGCGCCAGCCGAGAGCCCAAACATGACGTGGACATGCACTCTCGGGGGTCCGCCTGTACTTGTTGGATCGGCCCTGAGCCCCCCCGGCGGCGCCTCCTGCGCCGCTCCTGGCGCGCTCCGCGCGCCGGGGAGCCCTGGGAGGGGGGTCCAGCGCCGATCAGGAAGTCCGCGTGGGCTTTCCAACAAGTAGGGTCATGTCGCCTCTTGCCCCCCGATGTAGGAGGACATTTTCTTACAAGCGTTTAGGCCTCCTGCATTCGGAGAAGGCCCCCCCCTCCGTCGTAGAGGCCCGCCCCCCCCATCGGTGGCGCCGCTAGGGTCACGGTGACCAAGTGGTTGCGGGGTTTTACAGACGGGCCGTTGAAGGTCGGCGGCAAACGAGGGGGGGAAGCGAGAGTGAGAAGGCCTTCTCAGAAGGCGGCGGGACTTCTCAGAAGCCCTCGCGCCTTCTGAGAAGTTTGCTGTGTCTTGGGAGAAGTTTTATGTGTCCTTTTGGAAGGCCAGGGGACTTCCGAGCCTTCTGAGAAGGCCCGCCCCTTCTCACTCCCCCCCTTCGCTTGCCACCGAGGAGAAGGAACCCTTTTCGTTGGGGAGTGGCTCAGTGGTCCTTAATTGTTTTGCAGTTGTTCTTAGGATGTTTTCGAGTTGTTCTAGGACAGATCGAAAGTAACTAGCGGAAGCAAGGGGCTCGTTCCTTGTTTAGGGTTTCTAGTGACAGCGTTTCGACTGTAGTTGGTGTCATGGGGGCGACGGGCTCGGGGGGGGGGGCGCATCGAGCCCCAATCACCCATTGATCGCCGATGAGTCGAGGAGGGGATCGACTACCGAATTGACTAACCCCAAAAGTGAACCTTTCGTCGAATCTACGAGAAGCAGTACGTCGAACGGATGTTGATCTACGATATTCCGACGTATTTCGTCGTGGATGCTTCATAGATGCGACGAGCAGGTCAGGTCTGGGGTAGATTAATTCTGTAGTCGATCCCCTGTTCGAAATCACTAACGGATCACCGATGGGGCCTGATATCCCACCATGCCCAGTGAACGTGCGGCTTCGCTCTCGGCCTATCGTCGAACTATCGGCGGCGCATCGCGGATTCCAAGGCGGTGTTCCCCCCCCCCCCCCTCCCTGGAGCTGGTCTCCCCGCCGATGTTGCCCCTCAAGGTGGCTGCAGGATGGATGCAAACCGTTCTGCTCCAGGTGAAGAAGAAACAGCGACACACACAGACATGAGTTTACGGAGGCCCGCGCGGATTTCTCAGACCAGCGCTGGACCCCCCTTCGCGGCGCCTCTGGCGCAGCACTTGGGGCGCTCTGCGCGCCAGGCAGGATTCCATGGTCGATCCAAGAAATCCGCGCGGTCCCCCGACGGTTCAGGTTCATTCGGCGGCGAGCCCGGGGGGTAATTGAGATGGAACAGGCCTTCTCAGAAGGCGGCGGGGCTTTTCAGAAGTCCTCGCGCCTTCTGAGAGAAGCCACATGTGGCTCCGGAGGAGCCTTGACACAGATTCTCAGATGGCGCGGTGGTTTGTGAGACGCCCCGCCGCTCTCTAGGAGGGCCTGACCCCTCTCACTCCTCCCCCGGGGGCGCGCCTCCGATTCATGCCGACTTTTCTTCTTCCGTCCAGAGTGATGGTGCCGCCATTGGCCGTGGCGTGTGTGATGTCCCAGCGCCGGCGGAGGGCCTGATCTATACGCAGGTGGCCGCCGGAGGCAGCCACGCCGTCCTACTCCAGAGCGATGGCACGGCTGTGGCGTGTGGAACCTATCAGAGACGCCTACGGTGAATCACCACCGCCCCCTGTCTTTTGGAATTGCTTCTGTGGCCGAGCGTTGTGGCAAGAGCTCTGCCAAGCTATCCGACCATGTGTTCCCCCAGCCGTTTTGGAAGCCCTTCGGGGAACACTTGGGGGAGGATTGCGGGGAAGATCAGGAGGAGGAGGAGGAGGAGGAGGAGGAGGAGGAGGAGGAGGAGGAGGAGGAGGAGGAGGAGGAGGAGGGGCATCTTGGGAGCGTCAGACAGGCACTTTTAGGTCTCCCAGGAGCTTCCTGGGGGCATCTTGGAGGCATCTTGGGGGCCTCCTTGGGCCTCTTGGGGGCCTTTGGGGGCTTCGCGGGGGCCTCTTTGGCCGTCTTAGGGCATTCGTGGCCCGTCTGACGCCATCGGAAGCCGTCATGGGCGCCCGTCTGGGCCGATTTGGGGCCCTTTCGGGGTGCTCCACGGCTGTCTTAGAGGCCATTTTTGGCGTCTTGGAGGCTTTTTGGGTCGTCTTGGGGGCCTCTTGGGTCGTTCTGGGGCCATCTTGGAGGCCTCTTGTGCGATCTTGGGGCGATCTTTGGGGGCCTCTTGGGCCGTCCCGGGTCGTGAGAAGGCCGAAAAGAAGCATATGCCAGAAACAGTCAAGAAATTTAGGCGTATCAATAATCTAGGCCTCTTCGGGCCTTCCTGGAGGCCCTTTTGGGGGCCGTCTTGGGGACCTCTTGGAGACCTCTTGTGGGTCTCTTGGGCCGTCTTGGGTCGTCTCGGAGCCATCTTGGCCGTCTTCGGCAAAATGCAGACGCGCCTGGTCAGCACGAGCATTGAAACGCTGGCTTCTTCGTTCGTCGAAGGCTATTTGCCTCAGGTCGCGGCTGACTTCGAGAAAGTGCAACGGTGACTGGCCTTTCGATGTCATTTGACTTGTGCGCGCGCGCGAGCGCGCGTGCCCCTGCTCGCGCGCGCGCATCTGCGCGCGTTGCGCGGCGCTTTTTGCGAGGTTGTACGAAGTCGGTGCGTGGGTCCTGACTTGTGATGTGGATATGTTTGTCGCCCTGGCGGCCGTTTGCGTCAAGGACATTGGCCGAGTGGCGCGCGGCGAACAAACAGCCGCATTCTGCATGTATTGAAGCGCGCAAATATACGTATACCACGAACTATTCTTACGCGATTGCTACGTTTGCATGATCTTGGTTTGGTTTTGCTGTATCTCGGCTTTCCCATGCTATCTTTCGCTATATGATATTTTACTGTGCGTCGCGGTGCCTTGACGCGGCCGCGCCAGATGGCAGAGGTCTTTTTCTGCACGGGCGTTCGCGGTGAATGGGGGGGGGGGGCAGTGGTCGCGGCGCCGCGGGCGGGAGGGGGGGGGGGTGCCGATGAGTGGAGCAGGGGGGGGGGAACAGAGGAGGAGTAGGGCCTCGATTGGAGATGAGAGGGGGTCAGCTTGCAGCATGCGAGGAACACTTGGCATCGCATGGGACATGTCGAGTGCTGAATTGCTATCGGGAAAACCATCGCGTGCGTTGCATCTATCCAGTACCGCATCTGCGCCGCGGTCGGTGTCCATGTCGTGGGTTGCGCGTTCGGCCACGCATAGAGCCATGCCTATATTTGCTTTCAGACCACGCGTGGTCGGATGAACGCGCAATTGAGGCGCGCGAAGCTCGAACGCAACAGCGCCTACGTCCGCGCAGGCGTACACATTGCACACGCAATGCATGTGCCTGCACTTGCAGATCCATGCCACCTGCAATTCACACCTTGCAGTCGACTTGCAGTTGCCATTCAAGTTGCATATGCGTGAAGATCTACCCGATGTTATGCATAGTTCGACGTGCGCGCGCGAGGCCGAACATATGTAGCCGATATGCATCTTGCGCATACATTGCAGGGTGTAATAGACTTGGCGCGCATGCACCAGACAAAACCCGCATAGCTATATGTGTATACATATGTATTATATGATGCAGCCGCTGGGTTCAATTATCAAGCGGGTTGGGTAAGTCGCACATCTTTATTGTAGTGGCCTCTGACCAGTGCCGCCGATCCCGGGCGCTGCCGATTCTGCTGGCAGAGGGGGGCTTTTTAGGTTTTAAAAAAGTAGAGCACTCGTTCGATGCATCCTCGTAAGATAGAGGTGTTGAACTCGGTTGGGCAACCTTCAGATATTCGAAATCGACGATCCCGCGTGAACAGCCAAACTCATGGGGTACCCTCCCACCCTCTAGGCATGCGTGGCGCCAGCTCCCGCCCCCCCCCCCCCGACTCCCCCCTCGCGGGCGTGAGTGGCGTCAGTCAGCCATGGCGTCGCCCCCCCCTCTCCTCCTCTCTCCCGATTGAACGGCGTCGGCCATGGCGTCAGCCCCCCCCTCCCCCCGACAGAGTGAAGCTTGAGCGAGCTCCCCCGCCCCTCCCCCTCCCGGGCCTGCGCGGCGTCGGCCATGGCGTCAGCCCCCCCCCCCCCCCCCCCCCCCCCTCTTCCCGACCCCTCCCTCGCGGGCCTGAATGGCGTCGGCCATGGCGTCGCCCCCCCCCCCCCCCCTTCTTCCAGGCCTGAATGGCGTCAGCAACGGCGTCAGCCGCTCCCCCCCTCCGACGGTGCGAAGCTTGAGCGAGGTCCCACCCCCCCTCCCCTCTCCCGGGTCCGGCGTCAGCCACGGTGTCGCCCCCCCCCCTTCCGACCCCCTCGCCCCGGGCCTGAACCCCCGCCCTTCTCCCCTCCTGGGCTTCAATTGCGTTAGCTACGGCGTCAGCCCCCCGCCCGACATAGCGAAACCTGAGCGAGTTCCCCGCCCCCGCTCTCCCCGACTTCCTCCCCGCGGGCCTGAATTCACCGTCTGCCCGCAGACCCCCACCCCCGCTTCAATTCGTTTCGAAGCCCAAAATGGCCAATGAATTTCAATTGTCGCGCTCGTATTTCGCCCGCCCGAACTTGCCCGAAACGCGCGTGACAGTGCGCGGGCGCGCGCGCGGCGCACGCTCGCATTGTAACATTATACAACTAACCCACCCCGGGTCCGCATTGCCACTGTCGAGTAGATAGCATAGCCACGCGGTGCCATGTAACCGTCCGCGCGTATGAGCCATTATCTGGATCAGTATTATGGTGTCTATCTGCTTGCATCGCCATCATTGCCACGAGCGCTTCCGATGGCGTCTGCCGTTGTTTTGCCATGCGTGCCAGACACGTAGGCCAATGGCCACTTTTGTTCTGCAGCACGGGCATTTGCTTTCCACCGCATCCTTGTGCGGGAGGGCATTCCGCGCGCAATGGTCGCCCACAGCAAGACCGCTGCGGGGAACTCTTTCATGGACTTCAAGAGTTTCGCGACGAAGGCCCCCGCGGTCAAGAGTTGCCGGGGCTCGAAGGAGAAGAACCGCCGGGTGATCATGAGGGCCGCCCTGATCAGGATTCTCGAGCAGTTCGGCTCGGACAACGAGTTAATCTGGTTGACGGCTCTTTGCAGGCTGATTTGATAGGGGCCGCCAGTGTTTCGGCATATTCTAGATCTTGGCCTTCGACATGCGTGATGTTGCACCGGCTCCCCAACCGTTTCAAGGCCAAAGTTATCGTGGAGGCCACGGGGGGGGCAGATCACAGCACGCATGCTAAAGAACATGCTGAAGCACGATGGCGCCATCATTGCATCCTCGTTTTACTTGTTCACCCAGACCACGGAGAGGACTTTCCTGGACAAGATTTGCTTGGACAAGAAAGTCTGCGAGGCGTTCTTCTTGGATCGCGTCAAGCAGGTCGGCGACCGCTGGAAGGAGTGGGTTGCCAAGCATGTGAAGGGTGGCAAGGTGAACTGGCACGCCGGTGGCGCTCGCGCGCTGGAGTGGGAAAGTGATACCGTCAAGACGGTGGTTCACATCTCAGGCGCTGCCGCCCTGCTGCCAGCCCACGCGAAAGTCGGCCGTGATTTCGCTTTCGAGTGCCCGCGCTCGGACGAGGATGCGCAGTTGAAGTCGCCCGACGGCATCGCGACCATCATCTTGAAGAACCTCTCCCCCCCGAGCGCCGGCCCCAATCTGCACGCCGTTCCGAGGGGCGAGAAGGGGGCCCAAAAAACGGGCACGTGCGCCGCCCTGGTCCGCGAGATGGCGGAGAAAGTCAAGGCTGGCACAGTCGAGGCTCCCGCTGGCGCCGCGGAGGTCGATCAGGAGTTCGACAAGTTCGAGAAGGACCTCGACTTGGAGAAGCGCCAGGCAGCTTCTGGCAAGGCCAAGGCCCGGGCCAAGGTGAAGGCCACCAAGAAGGTCAGGAAACTGAGCGCATCGCCTCAGCAGTCGTGAGAGGGTCTTGCAGTTTTTACGCGGGGAGTCTGATGTGGGAAAGTGGTTGCGCGCTGGCCCTGGATTCCGTGCCCGTGAGGGGGGGCGACGTGCCCCCCAGGGAGAGGTGCGCAATGTGTATGGCGAAGCACGCTCGACGTGTTGCTGCAAACTCTTAGGCTCACATTCTTCGGTCCTGCCCAGAGCTGAGGGGGCTGACAGCCATCAGAGCTGTCGAGCGGAGCTCTGCTTGCGGGGTCCTTGGCAGCGCTGGCTATTGCAGTTTCTCGGCCGCGCGTGCAAACACGGAAAACGATTTCTCGAGCTCAGGGCATTCACATTAGCATTGCTCTTTGTCGCCGCTGCGGCCGTGGCCAAATTTCCACACTATCTTGATGTTTTGTCTCGCGCCACTTCGTTTTAAGCTCGCACCTGCCACTATCGCAATCACGAGTGTCCTCCTACTTGCATTCGTTGCCGCCGTTGCTGGCGTCCCAGACGGCCCCGAGACGGCTCCAGGACGGCCCGAGGTTGCCTCAACGTGCCTCCAAGTTGTTCCCAAGAGCCCTCAAGGCGGCTACCAGACCGGCCATGTGGCCCCCAAGGGGTTTGCAGAGTTGCCGCAGGGTCCCAAGAACCACCGAAATGGGCTTGAGAGATCCTGTTGGCCGTGCCTTCATTCAGCGATGTCTACGTCGACCCCTCTTGGAGCCGTTTTGGTGGCCTCTTGGGCCTCATTGGGGGCCTCGTGGGCCGTCTTGGGGCGCTCTTGGGCCGTCTTGGAGCCCTTTTGGGCGCCTTTTCGATTTTCTTCGGGCGATCTTGGGGGCCTCTTGAGTCGTTTTGGAGCGTCGGGAAGCCGATGCGGCGAGAATGCCCAAATCTTCCAAATTCGTAATGAAACTCACTGCGTTTTGCTTCTTGGGGCCCTCTTGGCAGGACTCTTGGAGGCCTCTTGGGGCGTCTTGGAGGCCTCTTGGGCCGTCTGGAGGCCATCTTGGACCGTCTTGGACCCATCTTGGGCTATCTTGGTGGCCTAGGTGGGCTCCCTGGGCCGTCACGGAAGCCTGGGAGGCCCCACTGCGGCGCCATGGCCGCCCAGGTACCCCCAGGAGTGGGGGCGATGCAATCAGGTGGTTGCCGCCCGGAGGGTGGAGGGCCCCTTGGAAGATTACAGAAACCCTACCAGACAGCACTTGGAATTCTTCCACGATTCAGCGTGCCCCAGGCAAGGTGGCGGGCACTTGTTTTGTTAAGGCTGCTGCCGTGTCCGCCGATTGTTCGGGCGTGCACAGCGCTTGATGGGTTTTTTAGCGTCCTCGTGGGGCTCTCTTGGGACCCCATGTGGACCTCCGTGGGTCCAGGCCCAACTGGAATGATCACAGGCCCCATCGGGGCCCTGCATAATATTCCTGGCGCGCCTTGGGCCGCGTTGTTTTTGCGAGGGGAGGGGGCTGCGACCTCTCCCAGGGACCGTTTGGGTCTCAGGGCGTTCTCGGGGGACTCCGGGGGCAGCGTATAAAATCCTCTCGGGGTAGTCTGCAGTGCGCGACTGCCGACGTCTGAGAGTAACCCCCTGCTCGCGGACGGCGGCTTGTGGTTGATACGTACTTGCGCCAGCACGTAGAGGAGACCACCATAAAACATCACAGTTATTCTCGTTGGGGGTGGTGCCGCGTAGCGGCATGTATTCTTGGCCACCTGGGAGGCTATGTAGATCTTACCCCCTCTTCCCCTCCTTATCTCTTTCACGATTGGTTCAGCTTCCAATGTGTTCTCTGTGTTGTTAACAAGCGAACGGCATATAAATGCGAAGATGCCGTCGGGGCGGTGGCTGTCTTGGGGCTGGCCGAACATCTGCGGACGTGGCCCGCGCCTGTGCGCCCGGTGGGGCTCGGTGCAGCCAGGGCGCGGCATTGGCCGGCCACCTCGAGTCCGAAACGTTCCTTCTCGGCACCCTCTCCTTCCTCCCCCTCCTTAGTGATCGCCGCCCGCGTGTTCATTTGTAGGCGTTCCCCTGCTCCGCATCCTACGTCTCGTCGTCGTCGTCATCCTTCCCTTTCCCCTCGTCCTGAAGCTCCGCCTCCCCGCCCTCTTTTTCCTCCTCTTCTCCCTCGCCCACTCCTCCCCCATATTCACCCCCCTCGCTTTCCGTCGCCCTTTTGGCTCGAGCCAAGCCGCCTATGGCTTCAACAGTTGTGCTAGTGGCCAAACGTGCCGCCAGTCCCGCGTGACTCGCTAGCCTTTCCGTCCGTTGCCGCGACGGCGGCTGTTGCCCGCGGGCGTGAGCTGGCGCCGCCAGAAGCTTTTCGCTACTCTGGAGATCTTTGCGCTTGCGCTCGCATCGCGGTTGCCGAGCCCCGCCGTTGTCGCGTGGACGCAGGCTGGAAAGATGATAGGCTATGGGGCGCTTGCAAAACAGCGTGCGCCCGTGTTCCGCGTTCGGGAGGCTGCCGAAACCGGAGTGCATCGCGATGCATTGCGCCGATGCGCATCACCGTGCGCCGCCATGCGCTGTTGGCGCTGGAGCCGGACTCGACGGGGGCAGCGGTTGGAATTGCCCTGCCGCGGCGCAAGAGCGTCGCAAGATGGCTGAATTGTCGTTTCTTCGCTCGAAGGGCGATCGGGGAGCCGCCGGGATCTTGAAGCGTGCTTGTGAAGGAAAGCATCGCCGTATCATTGTGGCCCCCGCCACTCATCAGTAAGCATTCAAACGTTTCGCCTCTACCTCCGCAAGTCGATATATTCACTGTTGGTCGCGTGGCCTGTTGTGGCGCCTGTCTGGGCTCCCGATCGGCCGGCGCGTCCTGTGAGTTCGTGTTGCTGCGCGGCTGCATCTCAGCTCGAGTGTGGCGTGGCATGTTGCTCTCTACTTGTTCGGGCTCGCATTGTTCATGCATCCAGGCAGAAATCGTCGAGATTTTTTTTGGGCGGGGGTGGGGGTCTCTAGGCATCTCCTCCTCATGAATGGCGTCAGCCATGGCGGATCCCCCCCCTTCCCTTCTCCTCCCCATGGCGTTCCCGTTCCCCCCCCTCTTCCCTCCCGGGCATGAATGGGGCATTTGTGGTCTGGGTTGGCACAGTTGGCTGAGGCGGAGCTTGTGGCGCTGGTGGCGCCGCCCCTGCAGGAAACTGCCTGGTGGGCATTGTGCTCGTAGCTGTAGTTGCTGTGGGAAACTGAGATTCAGACACTTCTTCCATTTCCTCGTCCTGCTGTGCTTCCAGCTCCTCTAGCTCTGCGATGTTAGCCCTTATGTTGGTAATACTGTCCTCTACCTCCTTCTCCTCCTCAATCAGGTCGGCGACCTTGGACTTGATCGTCTTGAGCTTCTCGAGAGCCTTGTCTTGACTGGTACGCAAGGTGTTTAGCTGACGAGTGAGTGTCTCAGTGTTTGAATCCATCAATTTGAGTACCGCAAGCTGCGCCATGACGTCTTCACGTTCTCGATTGGCACCCTTGGCCGCGATAGCAAGAAGGGCGAGCTTGCTCATGCGATCGCGGATCTCCAACTTGAAAGTCTTGAGCTCTTTGGTATCCGTAGGAAGTTCAATAAAGCTCGAATGATTGACCGCGTCTGCCCTAGATGCTGGCATACTTCTGATGATTTGTTGCGCTGCCTTATCATTGTTGTGCTGTGAGCGAAGCCGACTGTGTTCCCTTCGATGCGACTTATCCTGTTGCGTTTTCTCTCTCATGGCATCTTGGAAAGGGCCTCCCTGCTGCTCACGTTCCTGTCTCTGGTTGAAGCCGTAGGTCTGTCCGCACAAGCACCTCCAATGGTGACATTTGACGTATCGACCGCACTTCAAACAATCCCACTTATGACCAGGTCCCTGAATACGTGCACCTTAACTGTGACCTGTCATATTAGCTGTGTGACCAGAGCCGTGGTGCTGACGCAAACGGTCTTGAACTGCCAACGCACGTAGTAGGAGTCTGGCACGGGCTCTATCCTTGCGACACCTTCTGTGCCACGATGGTTCTTTAGCCGTCTTGACGGTCGCGGCACTAAACAGAGAAATGTGTGCACGCCTGAGGTTCGACCAGGAGAGTACAAGACATAGAAATGATCCCTCTGTGGGATGCCAAAATGCTCCCTGGGCCAAACCTCCTCCTCCTCCTCCTCCTCCTCTCCTCCTCCTCCTCCTCCTCCTCCTCCTCCTCCTCCTCCTCCTCCTCCTCCTCCTCCTCCTCCTCCTCCTCCTCCTCCCCCCCCCCTGTGGCGGACACATTCCAGCTCGTGCCTCAGGGCACGGTGGCGGCTCTCTTCGGCGCACACGAGCTCCCTGCGCTGCCGCAGGGCCTGGTCTACACGCAGGTGGCCGCGGGAGGCAGCCACACCGTGCTGCTCCGCAACGACGGCGCGGCTGTTGCGTGCGGCTGGAACGCCTTCGGCCAGTGCGACCTACCAGAGGGGGGCCCTGCCTACGCGCAGGTGACCGCGGGAGGGCTCAGAGGAGGAAAAGGTACCCATACCGCTACCCTTCGGCCGTTTTCCTTTTTTTGGGCCTCCTGGGAGGTTCTCGTCGCCACCGCTGGGTTCGCCTCGAAATTCGGGTCAGCACGCACCTGGGGAGAGGTCCGGGGAGTAGAAGTATCGGTACCTTTTGGTCTCTCCAAGAGGGGGGCCTTTCCTACGCGCAGGTGGCCGCGGGAGGGTGCCACGCGGTGTGGTGACCACACCGCGTGGTCGGGGTCACCGCGCGGTTTTGGGGCTCGGGCCGTTCTCCGAGCAGGGCTCGGGCGACCGGGGCCTCCAGGGTCCCAAGACCGTTCCGTGACGGACCGCGCGGCCCAGCCATCCGGCTGCTCCAATTTTTGTCGATGCGTGGCCCCGGAGGTCTGGACCACAAGGACCCGTTTTGCGTCCCGAGTCGTTTCTCGGGGCCCAAGAGACGGGGGTCAATGCAAACGGTGGTCAGCCAGGACGCCCGATCTTGCAGGATCCTGCAGAGGCCAGGACCCGGGTTTGGGTGCAGGATCCTGCAGGATTTTGCAGGATTCTTCGCATTGATCCGGGTGTGGGTGCAGGATCCTGCAGGGTCCTGCAGGATCCTGCAAGGCCCGACTGACCCGGGTCTGGATTGACCCGGGTCAGCGGATCCCCGACCCAGGATTTGTTTTGCGTCCCGAATCGTTTTTTGACGGTTTTGAGGCTTGGGCAGGGCCCTCGGGGGCCGAGAACGGCTAAACCACGCCCGGTCAAATTTTTTGTTTGAGCCTCTGATCTTTTGGGGTGATGCCTCTTGAGGCTCTGAGGTCACCACTCGGTACGGTAGATTCGTGTCGTGTCGACCAGCGGCGACCCCGCCGCCAGCGTTCAACGTTGAACGCCGCCGGCGACCCAGAATCGGTCGATGTTGAACGATCTGACATTTCGGAAACAGCCGATTGTTCAAGGTTGACCCATCCCCGCGGTGTGAGGAACCAACGCCAGGGTCGACACGACGCGAACCTAACGTACTCTAGGCGTCCCAGATGGGCTCCGAGTATACGGGGTCGAAGCATCCCTGATTAATCGGTGGTGCGGCTCGATGCGGATCCCGATTTTCTTCACGCCGACGACGCTGACGCATTGCCGACGTCGACCATGCATTATCGATGCATCGTCGATGCATCGTCGATGCATCAGTGATGGGTCGGCGATGCGGCGCGATCCTCCGACCCCACCTACTCTCACCCAAAGCGTCCCACCACTCGCAAAGTGCCTACTCGCAAAGAAAACACAGGTCTGCATCGATGCAACGCATCGCCAATCCCCCATGGCGGATCCCGGCCATTTCCGAGCAGTTGACTTGCGAGTAGGGGAACGGGCTTGTCTATACTCGGACCCCATCTATCTGGGAGGCCCCGACCCTGATGCCCCTGGTTTCCACCACCACCAGCATAAGTTTGAGGGGGGGGAGGAGAAGGAAGTGGAGGAGGAAGTGGAGGAGGAGGAGGAGGAGGAGGAGGAGGAGGAGGAGGAGGAGGACCCCCTCCCCCCCCTACTTCTGGTGGTGGCCCAAGCCCACCAGACGTGCGTCACAATTCCTGGCCCTTGGGACCTCTCGAGCGAGGTGGCCGCTGGAGGGCGCCACACCGTCCTGCTCCGGGTCGACGGCACGCCCCTGGTGTGCGGCGACGGCGCCGCGGGCCGCCCTCCGGCGCCGGCAGGAGGCCTCATCTCGAAGGAGAAAAGCGGCATGAGCATAAATTTCAGTCGGGCGTGTCCCCAACGGGCGGATTTTGGACGATGGTAAGTCATAGTGACAAAATATTCAAAAACAGTCACTGATCATCAAGAGTCGTCACCAGACTATTTCCTGATTATTTTTTGAATATTCATCCTGTAGGGGGACACGCCCGACTTATATAAGCATACATCTAAATCGGGCATGTCCCTGTACAGGAGGAATGCTCAAACACAATATCAATATGCAATGGGGGCGATTTTTGACAGTTTCTGGGCATTGTTTTAAATATGCTTTGACTTGTTTTGTTTTTGTTTTGTAGTATTTGTTTGTCCAAGTTCCGCCTGTAGGAGGACATTCCTTACATCAGCATGAATCCTTCGGTTGCAAATCATCGGAGTCTCGTGCGCCACGCTGAAGACGGCATGAAATCGGTCTTCAGCGTCTGAGCATACGTTCGAAGGAACAACGCCGTACACATAATTAGTTGGCGCTCCGCGCGGGTTTCTCGGATCAGTGCCGGGCCCTCCCCCCGGGCGGCGACTCCAGCTTCGCCCCTGGCGCGCTCCGCGCGCCAGGGAGGGGGGGCATGGCGCTGCGCGGAGCGCCAATATGTTGGTTTTTCTTTGTTTTCTTCTTCTTCTTCTTCTAATAATAATAATAGTAATAATAATATTAATAATAAATCCTTCGGTGGCAATCCATGGGAGCCTGATATACCCTCAGAATTCCGCCTTTCGCGTCGATTAGCGTTTGCAGTTGATGAGGTAGCGCCGATTTAGCGTCGACTAGCGTCGATCGTTTTGCGTCGATGTTGTCGATTCACAAGAGCCGACAAAAAGGTATGGGAGGCTCCCATGAGTTGTCACCAGATATATTCTCGGACCAAGAGATCCGTCGCTCAAGAACAATTTGGAGCGGGCGGTTTTTGGCCGTTTTCGGCCTCCGGGGGCCCTCGCCAGGCCTCGGGATTGTAAACGAACAATTCAGGACGAAAAAACAGTCCTGGGGAAGTGGTCCAGACCTCCGGGGCCCACGCATTGAACAAATTGCATCAGCCGGGTGTCTGGGGACGGTGCCAAGACGAGGATAGATCCGTTCCAGAGCGTTCCTGAACGCATTCAGAGCGTTCCAGAACGCTCGGAGGAGGCCGCGGCGCTCGAGAGCCTCCCGAGCCGCCGGATCTCAGAGATTCTCGATTTTTTTCCTCCTCCTGGCTTCGTCTTCAGAAGCATCAGTTGTCGGAGGCTTTGGGCCCCCCTGGGCAGCGCTTCCGGCGCTGCTCCTGGCGCGCGGAGCGCGCCAGGAGGGGGGTGGTTCAGCGCGGGTCCCGACGAATCCGCGCGGACCTCCGAAAGTTTGTGCTTGTGCCGTCTGTTTCTTCCTCCGTGGTCTGCGCGGCCAGTCGCCTGCCTGCGCCGCCGCGGCAGCTGCCCGCCGCCAGAGGTGCCCGAGATAGCGGCGCGCAGGCGGGTCGGGCTGCCCCCATGGGCGGTCCAGTCGGCGGCACCATGAGTTTCGCAGATCGGCGCGGGCCCCCGCCCCCCTCCCCCCCCCCCCCAGTCTCGAGTTTCGAGGTTTTCGGGTGCTTTCGTAGGTCCTCGCCAGCTTTCCAGCCTCGGGAGGCCTTCCAGCGGCTGCGCCTCGTCGAGAGCGTCCTGGAGGTGCCCGAAATGTCCCGAACGGCCGCCGGAGAGACGAGTTATGACCCGAAGACCGATTGACCAGACCTCCTCACAGACATCCGCTCCTCCCCATAGATCAATATCGTTTGTCGTTTCACCGATCCAGATCCCCATCCCCATCCCCATCCGCACCATCCCACCACCCCAGTTGCAGATATGCCCATCGAAACCCGAAGGGAGCAGCCTATACGCATCCCTATCTAGAGGGGTAAATCGGTCAGTATGGCCCAGGCCACGCCAGTGGGGATAGGGATCGGCTAAACGATGCTCACTGGCATCGATCTTTTTCTGCTTTTGGCGGCAGCCTTTGGCGACGGTTCAGGACCCCTTCCCCAGTCTGCTTGCGCGACTGGCTCCAGCCGATCGACGGAGCACAGGCCCAGACCCAGACCTTTCCCCTCACCCACCCACCCACCCTTGGGCCAAATGGCGAAGCTCACAATACATAGACGCCAGCATAGTCAGATGTTCGTTCTCCGGCAGCGAGCGACGGGATGAAATGAGAAGGAGAAGGCCTTCTCAGAAGGCGGCGAGGACTTCTCAGAAGCCCTCGCGCCTTCTGACAAGTTTTCTGTGTCTTCGGAGAAGGCTCAGAACCTTTTTCTGAACACCACTTCCGAGCCTTCTGAGAAGGCCCGCCCTTTTTCATTTTTACTCCGGGCTCGCCGCCGAGGTCTGGGGACCTTCCATCCGAGGCGGAGGTTTACGTTTCCGTAGTCGCCGCCTGAGGCATCGATCTCCAGGGGACCTCGGCAGGGCCTAGCTATGTCCATATCCACCGCCCGCTGGGGTCCCAGGACGTCGGTTCCCCAAGCCGTGGATGTGGATCAATCCCCGCAGCGCCGTCTTTGGGCCCACCTAACGGATCTGTTCGCCTCTAGTTCAAATCTAGCTCGACCCTTAGCTCGACTCTAGTTCGACCCGACTTTGACCCAGGTCGACGGTCGTCCGATGCAGCACCGACGCACGAGTGGCACGAGTGGCTCCAGGAAGATCCCCAGAACGAGCATCGAACCCTTCGGAGGAGGGCCAGTCGAGACAGCGGCGGCTCTCCCGCCCAGCCCAAACTCCGCCCGACGTGGTTCGCTGGACCCGTCCCGTGGGCAGGCATCCGTCCACTCGGAGGAGGGCCAGCCGAGGCAACGGCGGCTCCTCGGCCCAGCCCCACTCCGTCCAGCGGCGTTCGTCTAGGCCTCCTGGATGGGGTCCGAGTAGACGGGGTCGGAGGATCGCCCCGCCTCGCCGATGCATCGGCGATGCGATGTGGAGCCCGTTGCGACGTCGGCGATGCACTGGCGATGCATCGCGGACGTCGCCAACCCATCGCCGATGCATCGATGATGCATGGGCGATGCATCAGCGATGCAGCGCGGTCCTCCGACCCCATCTGCTCGGGCCCCATCCAGGAGGCCTCCAGATCCCTGGACCTGTCGCGCGGTCCATCCTGGCCCGCTCTTTGAGGTGGACCCCGTCGTGAGGACGAGGTTACCAGCCTCGAACGTATCCCTATCCCTAAGATTGACACGCCAAAAGGCGATGACAATCTTAGGGATTCGCCCTCAAACAATAAGGGGATCCCTAAGATTTGGCATCGTGATGAGGAGATGCCCAGCATAGGGATAGGGATATGTTCCAGGCTGGTAACGAGGGGCGCCAGGGCGGGACGCCGCGGTCTCCCCCGGCCCTCCGAGCCCTTCAGGGGGCCGGCGCGGCACAGCCGTCGGGCGCGGCACGGCGAGCCACCTGCACCACCGTCGGCACCAGCGTGACCCAGGCATCGTCGGCTTCTCGTGGCGGGTCGGAGATCGGCGCGTTCGGCGAGCCGCTGAAAGACGGGGTGCTGGAGAAGTACGGCACTTCCCTGCTGGCCGGCTGGCAGAGGAGGCACTTCCAGCTGTACCCGTCTTGGCTTGCGTATGCCGCCGAGAAGCAGCACCGTGTGAAGCTGATCAGGCTTGCCTCCATATCGAACGTACAGCTTGAGAATGGCGAGCTGCACCTTACCTGTGAGGAAGGCGCGAAATCCATTCGTCACAAGCTCAGGGCCCAAACGGTAGCAGAGACGAAGGCGTGGGAGATGGCAATCAAGAGCGCTTGGGGCTATTCGTCCACCGAGTAGGCCAGCCAACACGCTACGTTTGGTCCTGCTGCTTTTCCACGATGCGGGGTATGGCCTGTGTCGTTTTTTCGCGTCGGATTGCGAAGGCCTTACGGCCGATGCCGCCTACCCGACGGGGAACGGCGACGACGACTGCAACGGGAGGGCGGATCGGCCAGGTGGGCCTTGATGGGCGGGCGGGCGGGCGAACCCTCACGGGCGGGTCAGGCGTGCGGGCCCTGACGGGCAGGTCGGGCGGACGGACTCAAGCGGGCGGGCGGGCCGGGTCGGGTGGGACATCAACATACATATGTAGGTTCATCTATCCATATATATATATATATGTTTGTGCTTGCACGTGAATCATCTAAGCACAGGATGCGCCATGGCCGCACAGAAATCGCTAGGACAAGTCGCCCCTGGAAAAAGCGGCCGGGGCCTGGGCGGGAGTATGTCCGCATTCTTATTTTGCGGACTCATTCCCGCCTAGGTTTTGGGGGCTTTTTCTGGGCGGGGCTTCCTTTTGCACCCCACCTTTTCCGACGCCGTTTCCTGCCAACCAGCTTCGGCCGAGTCGCCGCGCGCGATGGCTGGAGCAGTGCCATTCGCGCTCGGCGTCCTGGGGGACCTTGCCCACCAGGCTGGGCTGGCAACGGTGCTGTGGGCTGCCCGCCCGCCGCCGTGCCCCGCGTGCCCAGGCTGCCCGGCGTGCCCGCCGTGCCCAGGCGCTCCCGACCCGGCGCCCGACTGGCGGCTGGGCGCGGAACCCGAGGCCAGAGGTCCGGGCTGGAGCGGGCTGCTCCTGACGGCGGCCGCGGGCGTGGCCGCTGGCTGGTGGCTGGCTCGTCGAACAGCGGCCGTGAGCCCGCAGGGCGCGCCGACGGCGGGCGATGGCGGCGCCGCCGGAGTGGGCGTGGACGGTGTTCAACGACCCAACCGCCCCGCTGCTCTACCACCAAAGGCTGTGCCACGGGGTGGTGGCGTCCTTGGCGACTGAAGAGGCGGCGGTGACGTCGCCCGACGGCGACACCTACATCGAGGACTGCCGCCCCGAGACGGGCGACGTGCTGCTGTTCAGGCGGGCGCCGGGGCGTTGGCCGCCGCCGGCCGGCATCCCGCGGGCCGTGTGCTACCGCTTCCGGGCGGAGCCGACGCAGGCCCAGCGCGTGGCGTGGGCTGGCGAGGCGGAAGCCGCGGCCCGGGCCTACCAGGCGGCGGTGGCGGTGGCGCGTGGCGTGCCGATGCTGCCGCTCGGGCAGCTGGCGCTCCTGCCGATGCCGGCGGCGGGAGGCGGGGCGGTCGTGGCAGGCGCGGCGCCGGCGGCGGGGTCGATCGTGGCGGCGGCACTTGTGGCTGCAGTTGCTGGCGCGGCCGCTGGGGCCATCGCGGCAGTGGCGCCCGCTGCCGCGCCCGCCGCGGCGGCCGGCGGGGCTGGCAGCACGTGGGTCAGTGTAGAGACCCGCCCGGGCGTCGTCAAGCGGGGCTACCCAGTGACGTTCAACGGCACCGAGCTGCTGCGAGGCGAGCGGGGTCTTGTGGATCTCTTGCCAGGCGGGGGCACGTGGATCGGCATCGCGTTCGTGCCGAACGGGAAGCTCCAGGAGTTCAAGGGCATGGAAGCGGACGGCGACGCCCGGCTGCTCTCGATCGGGGCGGCAGCGGGCCAGGGCCGGACTCGCCGGCTCTGGCGGGAGGGTGTGTCCTCGCTGCAGGAGGAGGCCTTCCCCGACTTCCCCGTGCCGGGGCCGCGGACGACGAAATGGTGCTGTGAGTTCCTCAACCGAAAAGCTGGAGGACCTCGGGAGCATCACAAACGGTGGATGAGCGTGCGGCGCCTCTACCCTGACATGTGGGGGGTGCGGGAGCACGAGACCATCATGCAAGCCCTGGAGCTGATGGTAGGCTACGACGGCCTGGATGTCACCAACGTCGCAGGCGCAGAGCTCCTCCTCCGCAAGGCCCAGTTGATTGAGTACTCGTACTCTGACGCTGGCCCGGCTGCAGCGGGCTCGGCAGCGTCGTCCGGCGAGGGCGGCAACAAGAAGAAGGGCGGCGCGGGCAAGGGCGGCGGCCGCGCTGGCGTGTGCGACGAGAGTCAGATCTTCATGGGAGCGCATAAGGAGTTCGGGGACACCCTCCTCGATCCGCAGCTCCTCGACTACGTTGCGAAGGAGGTTGAGCGCGACGCGCAGATGATGAAGCAGGTCAGGAAGGCGCGCGAGGAGCGGATCCTCGCGCGCAAGGCCGATGGTTGAATCGGCGTGGCGGCGGCCTGCTCCCGGGGCCGCCGCCGCTACGACGAGGGGGGCAGCGCCTGCAGAGGGCTGGGGCGCTGGCAGTTTTGGAGGACAGCCCGAGGAGGATTGGCGCTTGCCGCATGATGGCCGGCAGCGTGATTTGCTGCCGCTCCCGCATTTGCCCGGGGGGAGCGCCGACGGTGTGAGTTTTGTTTCGCATGTTGGAGCTCGACCGTCTCGCGCCGTGCGTCGGCGTGCTGAGAGGCGGGGCCACGACGTGGACTGGGCCAACTTCATGATCGACACGCTGAACGAGATGGCGGGTGGGCCAGTGCCGGTGGGCGCTGGAGCGGGCGGACCCACGGTTGGCCAGATGCAGTGCTTGGAGCGCCTGAAGGCCGCCGCGCGTGCAGCGGGGCCGCCTCCGGAAGGCATGGGCGGCGAGGGGGCCCTGAGCGAGTTCCTCGCCAAACGAGGGTGCGGCGGGGAGCCTGCCACCCTCGCGCCCCTCGAGATTGACTTGCTCTCCGCGCCTCCAGAAGGGCATCGGCCGCGCGGCCTCGCGGAGGCGGCGGGGGACGCAGGTGTGCGGATAGCCGAGGGGCTGATGAGTCAGATCCTGCCTAAAGATGTGGCAGGGAGGAAGCGAGAGGAGAGTGGACTGAAGCGAACATACAGCGATCCTCTGCTGCGAGATCGGCGGTGCTACGCCCGCCTGGTGAGGCATCTCGCGAGCAGAGGGCTCATCGAGTTTCGGAGGACTTGCGTGGAGCAGGTCGGGCTTTTCTCGGTCTGGAAGAAAAGCGGCAAGGTGAGACTCATCGTGGTTTGCAGACTGTCGAACACCCACTTCGGGGAGCCGGACGACGTGCACTGGGCGAGCGGGGCCTCCATGGGGTCCATCGAGGTGGACGCGGGGATGCCGGTCTCCTTGGGCAGGTGGACATTGCGGACGCCTTCTACGCGCTGGCCCTGCCGCCAGAGCTCGTCAAGTTCTTCGGCGCGCGGAGGCTAGCGGCCGGCGACGCCGGAGTGACCGAGTGCGAGGGGGCCCCCGTGGAACCCGATGAGATGGTGGTGCCGTGGTTCGCGGCCGTTCCCATGGGATGGTCACTGGCGCTGGGCGTGTGCCAGGCCGTGCACGCGGAGGTGGTGCGGCTCGTCCCCTCGTTGCCCGACAGCCGGCGATTGGTCGACGGGCGGGTGCCTCCGCCGCTGGACCCGCTGGTGCATGCGCAGTACGTGGACAACTTCGTGGCCTTCTCGCAGGACTTCGGGGCCGCCGAGGGGGCCGCGGAGCTCGTGAGCGAGAAGATGCAGGAGCTGGGGCTGCCGACGCACGGCGTGGGGGCCAGCGTCGGCGGCAACTGCCTTGGCTGGAGTTTCGACCCCGACGAGGCGGCAGTGGCGCTAAGCCCAGCGAGGCTTTGGCGGCTTCGCTTTGGCGTGCGCGAGCTGCTGTCGAGGCCGCGGGTCTACGTCTGGCAGTTGGAAATCATCGTCGGCCACTTGACCTTCGCGGCGCTGCTGAGGCGAGAGGCGATGTCGTGCTTCGGGGCAGAGCTCGTGGCATGGTGGCCCGCCGTGCGGCGGGAGCTGCGGTGGGCCGTGAGCCTGCTGCCCCTGGTCCGTCGCGACCTGGCTGCCGATTGGGGGGCGATTGTGATGGCCTCTGACGCCTCGCAGTGGGGGCGCGGGGTCGTCGAGGGCGAACGCGACCCAGCCTTGGTGCAGCGGGCTGGCCGCGTGAATGAGAGATGGCGATGCAGCAAGGACGGCGAGCTGAGTGCCAACCAAGGCTAGGCTTCATGCTCGTTGCCGTGACAATGGCGACTATAATGATACCGGCCAGGACGTCGGCGACGCGCCCCGCGACTTTGACGAGGTGCCGCCTGCGCTGATGTCTGGGCCCTGGCGGACGGTGAGTGCGGCCCGGTGGCGGCAGCGCGAGTCTATGCCTATGCTTGAAGCACGTGCAGCCGTCTGGGCCTTGAAACACCAGCTCCTTCGTCTTCATAATCATGGTCGTCGACTCCTCTTTGTCGTCGATGCGATGGCGGTGGCGCTGATGCTGAGCAAGGGCCGATCGTCAGTCAAGGGGATGAACCGCATCTGCAGGCAGTGGGGGGGCCTGTGTCTCGTCACGGGGGTGAGTCCAGCGGGGCGGTCAGATGGGTGATGTCGGAAAATAACCCCGCGGACGAACCCTCCCGTGTGCATCAGCCGCCTGGGCCCGAGCTTTACCAGGCATTCCTCGGCGCGCGGCCCGCGGGGCCCGAGCGCGGCGAGCCTGGGCGAGCTGCAGGCCGTTCTGCTCGGGATGCTGGCTCGCCGAGCGCCGCCGCGGCCGCTCCAGGAGGGCGATGCGGCGCTGCCGGCGGCGGGCGTGCTGGCGCGCCGGCGGCCGGCCGCGCGTGCGGCGCGGAGCCAGATCGCCGCGGCGGTCGCGCTGCCCGAGGGGCCGAAGCGGGAGGACCGCCGCGCGGCCCGCAAGCGGCGCCTGCCGGAAGCCGAGACGAGCTGGAACCAAGGTCGGACCTTCCTCGAGTCGCGGTCGGTGTCGACGACCCAGGAACAGTTGTGCGCGTCGCTGATGGCGGACTTCGTGCATTGGGCGTCGGAGAGACGCCTCCCGCTGGACACGCCGGAGCAGAAGGGCGAGGCCGTGGTGCTGCGGGGCGACGCGATGTACTTCGAGGGAGCCACCGCCGGGGACTTCAGCAAGCCGAGGGCGGCGGCGGCGTTCCACTGGAAGCTGGGCCGCGCCGGGCTGGACCTGAAGCG